ACAAACACAACACTTAAAAAGGGGATTCGTGAATCTAAATAAATATTTTTCATTTTATATAAGAAAAATAACATTATTCTACAAAATTAAAGCTGTTTTTGTCTTTTTCATTTGTTGTACAGTAAAAATGGGAAAAGATGCAAAGAAAAAACCTGATAAATAATTGCATTTACAATTTTTTTTGTATTCCTATTTCATAAAGCATATTGATAGTCACACACACACACACATTTGAAGTGTGCTTGTACGAAATCAAACCTGAATATACTTTACTGACCAAACGAAAGTTGATTCAAAATTCATATAAAACCGACCTTCAAAAGCAGAGTTCAAAAGTCACAAAATGAAACAAATGTCAAACAAACCAGTCTTCAAAGTATACTAAAAGCAAACATTAGAACATGGAGTTCTTAAATTACAAAAGCAAAAAGACCATACTTGAAACAAATCAGTCTAATAAAGGGACTTGAAAGAAGTATCGAAAATCCGCTGCGCTTGACTAAGGCAGCGTAATCATCGGTACTTGGATAATCATATGAAGTTTCAGCTCCATTGAAACTTCACCTTCTTCTACTTCTCCATCATCAACTAGAACATTTTTATCGAACTCAAACCGCTCCCATCCCGCACCCTTCCTAGTATCTTTCTCAGCTGCAATATCAAGAAGATCATTAATTCATATAGAAGAAATAAACATGAGCTGATATGAACGTTTTCACAAGGTATACGATGCGAGGAATCTCATCTCATCTCTCAATTCTATCTTTCTTGTTTTTTGTTCTTTCTCATACACAAGGAAGTTTCTCTTCATGCACCATTAAATACATTTCCATATATTCTATCTCGTGAAAAGGTTTACATGCAGAGTTGCTATGAAGATCACAAGGTATACGATGCGAGGAATATCATCTGATTTAAAGGACATATAGTCTATCTTCATACACCACTAAATACATTTCCATATATTCTATCTTCTAATAAGGTTTTGTCCCGATCCTCCTTATATCCAAGATCTATTAGGCCACGAAATACTAATTTGTGAAAAGCTAGGGCAAGTCTTCTCGCAGGAGTAAAGTACAATTGGATCTTTAATGCCAAGAGATACAGAATAACATACCTTAGATTAAACGAGCCGCTGCAATTCTCCTCTGTATTATGGCTCTCCTCTCTTTCAACCATGCCAGATCTCTTTCTGTCTTCTCAATACGCGTTTCCATCGATGACGCCAGTACCTCCAGCTCCTGCTTCCTCTTCTTGTAGGAGTCATCATAGTCTCGTGAGGTTGGTCCATTGTTGTCTGCTAGATCCTCCTCCTTTATTGCAACATTTTCTTGGACCAATCTTTCATTATCAACAACATCATCTTCTTTCTCAGCTTCACTGCACAACTTCTCATCTGACCTCACCTTTTCTCCCGCAATGGAACCATTTTCTTGGAGCACAAGATTTGGTTCCTCGCTGCTACCATCGATCATATCAGCATTGCTTCCATATACATCAAGCTCATCACCACAGTTTTGCACTGTCTCTGGTGGTGACACAACAACTTCAACTCCATTAGCACCAAGAAAAGAATCTGAAGAGTTGGTTTCATCAATTAGAGTCAGACCTATATTCTTCTTTCCATTGCTTCCAGTTTCATCAGTTTCTGGTGGTGGTACAGCTTCATCTCCATCAGCGCTTATTAAAGCGCGCTTTTGACTAGGTCCTGAATCATTGTTATCCGCCCCAAGTCTAGTTTTTTTACCAAGCTGTTCAGAAACATCTCCTCCACTATTCTTTACAGCTCTGTACATGTTATTATTCTGCCTCCTTATATCAGCAACGGTGAGGCGTACATCATTGTCTGATGGAGCATGTGTCTTCCCTTTCTTTTTACAAGATAGGATCATATAATTGCGTCTCTTTCTTCTCGAAACCTCGCTTGTTCTGTTCATCTCAGATGATTCAACAACTTGCCTCTTCTCCGAAGAACTCTGAAATTCTTGAAACGCCTTCCTCCACCACTCGCAGAACATTGGAGTAACAGAAGGTATTGCGTCACGAGAAGGAATGTGTAATGCCAAAGCATCAATAGGCTTGTTGTAATGATCCCAAGCTTCCTCCTTTGAGAGGTTGTTACGGTTAACAGGACCAGGAACATTCTGAAGTATCCCGAACTGTGAAGCCACTCGATCAGGAAAGTAATGCTCCATATTATCAATACCAACAAGCTCAGAGACCTTGATGAACCGAGCAAAGGAGGTAAATTCATCATCGAGATTAGGACCAATAGGAACATACATCGCCTTTTCGGGGTAAAACCGAGGGAACTCCCAATTCTTCACAGGTTTTGTGAATGGACGCCACTCAAAACTGTCGATGTTCGAGTTGTCTAGAATCCGCCTCACATCATCGATCTTTCTCTCTGTCTTATGCCAAAGAGCCAATCTTGGCTCACCTTCTTGCAACTGATTAGGTTTTGGTTGTAGTTCCTTGAATCTCTCCCATGTCCAAACTTGAACCAACTTAAACAAAGCACTGGAATCATCATTGACAGTAGTCTTTGATTCGTCGAAAGCTTGAATATGGTTCTTCAAGAGAGTTAGTTCTGCATACAAGTGAGCAAGAGCAGCTGGAGCTAAAGCAATCTTTGTACCGCTTGAAAGATGAACAGCAATCGAAAACACAGCTTCAAAGATATGATAATAACGCAACGGAAACACAAAGTAGCTTAGCCAACACACAAGGAAAGCAACATGCTCAAGCATATCATCATTACTGTCCATGAATCTCTCCATCCATACTAGTTGAGTAACAAAACTTATCTTGATCTTAATCTTAACCCATTCTCTCTCAATTTTCTCCTTGATCCTCTCTCCTGAAGCATCAAGAGAAGCGAAAACAGGTAAACCGGAAACGGAGAAACCTAGAAGCACCATAACATCTTCAAGCGTTATACTTGTTTCACCCCAAGGGAAAACAAAAGTCCTTGTATCAGGACACCATTTCTCAGCAATACCTAGAACAAGATCTTTGTCTGGCTTGATTCTGTATGTTGACGACATAACAGCTTCGTAAATCCCAGCTTTTCTCCAAATGGGTTTGTGTAAAGCAGCCATTTTTGTAGTCCAAGACTTGAACTTTGAGCTCGCTAATCTCCACCCATTAAAGGTAACACTCGAAGACAGAGCCTTCAAGTCAGGACGATTCTGATGAGGAAGAACAGCTCCAGATCCATCAATGGAGGTTGTTGAGCAAGGCTTCAAAAGATGAGATTTTTTGCTGTTTTCAGGAGGAGACGCCATGAGCTCTTGTCTCTCTTGGACAAGATCTTCTTGTAGTGTTAAATCGTCCATGGAGATTGAGAAGAAGATAAGAG